TCATTACCAGCACATGTTCAGCCTACGATCGCCGCTCTGCCCGAAGACATGCCACTTAACCAAGTCGCACTCGTGGCAGGCAGAGTTGTCGCTCGAACTGACAATCGAGACAACTATACGGTTGCGTCCACGTCACATACCGGCGTGGACCTCGATGCCAATCATGTTAAGGCTCAAAAGGATAAGGGTTGCTGTATTCACAGCCGTCTCAGTTTCCGGGGTCATTCTAACGTACCTGAACCCTACGTCCGACGAGCCCTTTCACGACTCGAAAGGCTGCAAGTACTCGCCCCCAGCGGGCATCTTCCAAGCCACGCCAACGGGCGGCTTCGGAAGCGAGTACTGGTTGGTGCTGGTTCCACCGGACCTTTAGGTCTGGCGCCCGTCATTGTCGAGCTCCCTGCTCATACAAAGCTGGAAACTCCCGAGCCGGCGAGTGAATGCGGCCCAACTCGCCGGCCACTCACCTCAGGTTGTCCGCTTATTTCACGTGCACGGTATCCGCACAAGCTTTAGCTCAAGCCACGCTCCTCGCCCAACGCGACCCATCAGCCACGCTCAGTATAGCGGTTGATGCATCCGATTTCGCTATAGGAGCCGTCATGCAACAAAACATCTCTGGAAGTTGACAACCTCTCGAATTTTTCTCACGACGCCTCACTCCCTCGGAGACGAGATGTAGCGCTTTTGGTCGCGAACTGCTAGCAGCCTACTGTGCCATCACACATTTTCGGCACGCAGCAGAGGGTCTTAACTTCAACCTTTTTACCGACCATAAGCCTCGAACGTATGCTCTTCATACAAAGTCTGACCGCCACTCACCACGAGAGTGCAGACATTTGGACTATATCTCTCAGTTCACGACGGACCTTCGTCATATTAAAAGCGAGTTGAACTACGTTGCCGATGCTTTGTCACGTATTCAAGTGAATGCAGTTACTTTACCAGTGCTCGATCTTCCTGCTATGGCCGCCGCCCAAGCAAATGATCCCTCTTGTTTAGAAGCACAACAAACTACATCCCTTCAGTGTCAAGAAGTGTCCCTAGCTACTACCTCAGGCACTATCCTATGTGATACCTCTAACGGTCTACCCCGACCCATCGTACCCTCTGCTTATCGTCGTCTCGTCTTCGATGCCCTTCGTGGATTGTCTCATCCAGGTATCTCGGTCACTTTACGTCTCATCACTGCAAGATAAGTCTGGCCTTCCATGAAAAAAGATGTCCGTATGTGGGTAAAGCAATGCTTACAAAAGTGCACAGGCACGTAGCCGCCCCTATTGGCACATTTGCTACGCCTGACACTCGCTTCGAACACGTTTATAATGACCTTGTAGGACCATTGCCACCGTCGCATTGGCATGATCACATACTCACGTGTATCGATCGTTTTACAAGATGGCCCGAAGCTATTCCCATCACTTCTATTACGGCGGAAACAGTTGCTCACCGCTTCGTAGAACGATGGATAGCTCTGTACGGTTGTCCCTCGACTGTCACAACTGACCGAGGAAAACAATTCGAGTCCGAACTATTCTCCCCGCTAACTCGGCTGCTTGGTATGGAGCGCATACGCACTACCGCCTACCACCCAGCTTCAAATGGTTTAGTCGAAAGGTTTCATCGCCAACTCAAAAACGCTCTTCGAGCACACGAAAACAACAATTGGTAGGAAAACTTACCGCTCGTCCTTCTAGGCATCAGAACGAGCTTAAAGGCAGATATTCAATGTTCCGCCGCTAAATTGGTGTACGGCACGACAATGCGTCTGCCTGGGGAATTTTTCACACCACGGAGCAGTGATAACTTCAATAAATAAGACTACGTCCAACGATTGTCTGAATTTGTGCGAGCACTGCCTTCGGTGTCAACTCGAGTACAACATCGACAGGTCGCTCTCCCCCGAGAGTTATCTACCTGCTCATATGTTTTCATTCGAGTCGATTAGGTATGCAAACCTCTGCAACAACCTTACGAAGGGCCTTTTCTCGTGATTTCTCGTCATGAAAAGACCTTCAAGGTTGCTCGACATGGCCGCGTCGAGATAGTCAGCATTGATCATCTCAAGCCAGCACACGTCGATGACAGTGCCCTACTTGCTAATTCGAGATCAAATGCTAGACCTAGCGGGATCCTTAGAGCGACTCCGGATCCCATGCTAGCGAAATCAGAGACCTCATTCTCAGGTCCCAGTCAGCAGCCCGCGCCATCTGCACTATCTACAGATGAGACTTCGGTTTCACGTCCATATCAGCAGACCACGCCGCACTTGACTGCGGATGAGGATGCAGGCTCACGAGGTACGCATGAGGCTACTGTCTCGCGTTCCGGTCGCCGCGTACGCCTACCTGTACGTTTTCTCGAATAACTCCCAATCATCCACGGGTGCGGAATAGGATTTTACCATCATACTACATGCATGCTACACTTTTCTCTTTTTCTTTGATTTTTTTTCATCCCGAGCCTAAACCTCCGACCATTGCCCTGTTGGTACCGTCGACTTCAGTCAACCTTGGCGAAAGCTGGCCTGACCACCCACGTTCTTGTCAATGCACTCATTCGATTTTCTGGTTACGAATATATCTGGTATAAGAATGGTTTCGCACTGGTCGTTTCTGGCTGCTTCGCTCAGTCTGGTTCCGTCCTACGTCTGCAGCTTTATCTGGTCCGAATTCCTACGGATGCCATCTTCAGACTCTGGATACGATCCACGCTGGTGTGGCATGTCAACCCGATAGACGAACTTGGCACGGCAGCGGAAACACTCTCGGTGACAACTCGAGCTTCATCAGTCGCTTCTCGTCGTCAAACATTCCGCCCTACAACCAAACTTTCGTCGACAAGGCCCCCCTGAACGCACCCACTACGTATCGAAAGTGTGAACACTTTCTAGGGGGGCGGGCTCCTCTGGTGGAACTATTTTGTGAAGAAAACATAATTGCTGACATATAAATACTTATTATTGAACATGTGTAACAATATCTGTTTTATTGTACACCTTTTGTTCATCTGTACTTGAAGTCATAATTCAAACGCCAACCTCACCAACCCTGTGGCTTTATTGATCGTTTCGTGGGATTGCTTTCTCTGGCTGATATCGATATTCCATAATTGGATTTCTGGTTTAAATTCGTTTGGGAGTTTAAACTTGGTTGGCAACCATCCCAACTACTACAACCTATGGGCTACGTATCAATGCAACACAGTTAACTGCTATGGTTGAAAATAAGATTTTTCAAACAAACTTTAATCATTTAGGATGCTGTGGCGGAAATATGTTCAATGAAGCAAGCGGAAAACTGTTAAGTGGGCTATTTCGTCTGATTAATCTCTTGAACTTACAGCACATGTTGTAGCTGATGCAATGAGTGAATCAGAAGTGGCCTGATGAAAAGCTAATTAGTAACCAACAAATGTCTCAATGGACAAATGCACATTATTGGTTAAGAAATGGTCTTTAAGTTAATCCTGACATTCATCATTCTTTCACTATATAGATCCACTTCAAATATACTGAGCAATTCCCAAGCCTTTCAAAAGATGATAACCCTCTTCTATGTCTGAATCCTGATGGGTTCGTTCTCCAAGATGGTTTACGGATCCGCTTGTAAACTGCGTCCAAAATACTAAGGAAACCTTATTCTATCTTGGGTGTCAAACCTGTGTTCGTAAATTGTCAAAAGCCACAACAAATATGTATGTATGCCTAATATCAATAAATAAGTCTCAAAACAAACCTTCAGTTTTTAGGTCACGGAGAAAATTCTTTAGGTCCAAGATCAAGACTCCAAGATTAACATCGTGGGCTGACAAATTCAAAGACTAAGTAAAACAAATTCATCCAAAACTCAATGAAAATAACGGTGTTCACAACAACAGGTAATAGCCAGATAAATGCTGTATGGCAAATAGGTCTCAGGCCCAACGTTTATCGTGATAAACTGACCAATATGTTATTGTATTTAGGGTGTGACTTTACTTGAATGCCCAGTCAACTTCCTGCGCAAAGCTACTAGAAATGTCTAATTTACTGATAGTTTCCTTCACTTACTGAACTCGAAACTAAAAATTTCACAGGATCCCTTGTTGCAACGGGCTTAAAAAGACTTTATGATTTACAAGTATATTTTCCTCGATATATCTTAAGCGAAGTCAGAATGGGAAGGATGTAAGACCACAGATATTTCTTAAAACAAACATGGATGTGGTGGAGGAGTGAAAGTGGGCGCAAGATATGATAATAGGCCACTAAATGAAAAGAGATATATGCATATACCGTTATCAGGTGTGAAAGTGATCCCATTGGTGTTGTCGACCTAATCCGTTAGTTTACATTATGCCGGACCAATTAGTTTCGCTTCATCCGTTCTAAAGCATTGTTGCTTTTCAAAGCTACTTTGGCAGTTGTCTCAAAATAAGACTATCTAAGCTATTCCACGGGTTTGGAACTGAGAAATTCATACTTCACTGAGCGAAACGTCTGTATGCTTCAAGCAAGTATTACACGACATGTTGTATGTATATATTTCACTCCATTTAAATAAGTTTAACATTTTTATCACAGTATTTTCAAAGTATGCACTTCGCGCTAGGATTAAACTCACGCTTCATATCATACAAGCTCACTTTCTTGACCAATGAGTTCCAACAGGTTACAAATAATGTAAAAGTGTTTGTTTTTCACAGCTACTTTATGGTTGAAAGTCCAAAACAAATATCTAATACAGTTTATGATCCTCTGAAGAACGTTGTATGTTACTCAGAAGGATGGAGTCAAAAGCTTTAAAATGAATAAAAATGTTGTCAATACAAGAACTTTTCCATCTAAACTTTTGATTGTCCTCCGCATCAGACATCACTTGTTTCGCAGGTTAACTGAGAGAGGATCGCCGTAAAAATATATAAAGCAGTCTATTGATGTCTTAAAGATATAGGAACGAGGAAAAAACGAAACGCATAGTGTCAGTTTACAAACATGAAAAGTACGCAACAATTGCAGCCGCGCCAAGTTTGATTAAGGCGCTAGATTTAGGTGCTGAGTTTTGACTGTAGGTGAAGACTAGCTCTGCGTTGTGATGTCTTATAAAATATAATAGTTAGTAACAGGGTTATTAAATTAAACAACTTTTGGAGTGGTTTTTATTATAGAGTTGATCAGATGTGTGACTCTTGCCGCTTTTAGTTTATCTTTCGTCATGATTGTACTACATGTGACACGTTCGTAGCATGATGAAACGATATTTCTTTTAATAAACTTTCCACTGTTTATAACTTTCTGAAGGTTATTCTCTGTTTGGTCTCATAACTAGTAGAAGCTATAAGGCAAAAGTAATATGGCTATTTTTTGTGATCGTATAGGAAGTGCGAAATGAAAATGGCGAACGGTAATGGAGTTTATCTGTGGTCGTAACGGCTTGAAATCTTAACGTTTTCTGCACCTAGTTCTGCTTTCCAGGTTCTCTGAGGCTTTTGTGTTTATTTATTTTTGTTATCCGTACTGAAAATGGGTTTTGTGCTCTTGTCATCTGTTTACCTCTTCTTTTGTTCTCCTTTTTTAGTTCTCCCTACACACGTTACTGTGCATGTGACCTAAGTGCACAACGTACCCCTTGGCTAGACGTGAACTGTTACATCTATCCAACACGTGAGAAAAGTAATTCCTGATTACTATTTTGACTTTACCTGCGATTTGATTGATAATTTTATTAGTTCCAGGTATTCAATCAATGCTTGGATAATGTTTCGCTCATTTTTAAACCTTCACTCTTTTATGTTCTTAAAATTCAGTAACTAAGTTTAAAGACAGTCTCTTAATGTGAAAAAGTGATGTGAACACAATCAACGTCAGACAGGTTTTGGCTAAATTACTGTGTTTATGTGTGTTCACTTTTTTAGTTGACGGATTTGCCTCTGAAAAGATCCTTGCTTTTTTCAAGCCTCCATATATCTACAATTCTGTGAAAATAGAACTGTCGAGGCAAATGCGCTAGAGCATACGACGAACGGTCATCAGAATCGATAACTTCAAGTAGTGTTCGTAGGGCTGTCCGCTTTCTCTATTGTTTAACTTTATCACTGATGTGCCTTTGGATAAAACACTTTCATCATCTGACCTTTCAGGTGCTGAACGTTTACTGGAAGATTCGTCTAACTTAAAATAGGCCGATCACAGTTCTCCTTAGTGAAGACTGACCACCATAAGCAACCATACAAGCATGTTCGCGAAGCGATTCTCCCTGTCAAAAGGCAAAGTGCTGCTTCAGAATTGGGTTTCATCAGCACCTGAATTAATGTTAGTGAGTGAATCAGTTGTGCGTGTCGACCGCCTTACTAATCTTGGGAGTCTCATCAGTGCTGATGGCTTGTCATGTGACCAAATCTCAGCACGGATAAAAATGTTTCGACATGCTTTTGTCAACTTGAGCCACTTATGGCGTCGGCAAGATATCTGTCTGCTAACCAAAGGACGAGTTTACTATGCAGTAGTTCGCTCCGTCCTACTTTATGGTTGCGAAACAGTAGTAGAAGATATTCGTAGGTTACTGGTTTCCGATCATAGGTGTCTCCGAAGCATTGCTCGCTTATCTTGGTACTATCGAGTTATCACTGCTGTTTTTAGGAAATAACTACTAGGTAAGGATGGCAGATCAATATATGAAGTGTTAAAACTTCATCAGTTGAGGTGGTTGAGAAATGTGTTACGAATGCCCAACCACCGACTGCCTCGACGAGCTATGTTTTGTGGTGTGGGAGTAAGTAGTTTGGAAGAAAGCTATGGGCGGCCAAACCAAAATATGTCAAATCCTTGAAGTCACTGACAAATGGATTGAGTCATGTTGGTAGATGTAGATTACCTATTTGAGGTCCGTGAAATAAAAGTAATCGATGGTTAGAAACTATGAATGACGTGGCTCAAAACCGTTTGTAATCGCGCAGGTGCATTCATTGTTTGTATTCACTCAAATTGTACTTTTCTGAATTCCTCATCACCTCTATCTTTCTCTTTTTAAATTATTTTCACTGGATTATAATTTTTGAATAATTTCTTCGTACCTTAATCTTTGTGATTACTGCTAGCACTTCTACTATCTCTACTACTATGGTATTTGAAATGAAAATTCCATGATTGCTAATGTGATATGGCAACGTGAATTGATATACGTACTCACTAAGTTGTACGTTGTAACTGACTGATTGAGGCAAATCACGTACGTTTTCACATAATTGTTGTGCATCATTATCACAAATTCATAGCTATCCTGTCTTTAAGTCTAATAAAACTTGACCTGGAATGGGTTTGTGTATTCCGTTATGTATTGCTCTACGGTTTGTAGTATCTCTTGAATACTTGGACCGAACTAGATGGGACAGCATGGACATCATCCAGCATAATGGTTGAAAGTCATGCCAAAACCTAAGGTGTTGTTTCTTAACAGTGATACCCAATGTTTCCTTAAAACTAGTTCCCTCGGGTTTAACAACTTGACCATCACCATTTGTTGAATTCTTTAATTCCTTCACCAGTCGCTTGGTCAAATTTATTATAAATTCATACGCTTCTACACAGCTAGTTGATTGGGTAATGTGCTCTCTAATAGGTTATTTTGTATTGTGTCCTTAAATAAGAATTCCACATCTCCAAGAAATGCTGGTTTCTGGGGCAAATATTCAGCTGCTATCACATCAACGCAGTCATAAATATGAATTCACCTTTAGATTCCGGCAGCAGGGAAACCATTGCACCATGACATCTAACCTTATAGTGGATGCAATTTCTCATTAATATAAGTTAGCCAGTGTTCATATTAAGTTTCTCAGGTATCCTACCTTCTAAATCCTTTAAATTTTTCATTTTAGGCGTTATAGAGAATATTTTACCATGAGAAAGCTTTTGCAGCTTTTCCCCTTTCAACGAAACCTACTGGTAAACAAGCTTGTAAACTATTCAGTACGTGGACAAGATTCAGATTTTATTCGGCTTCACGGCATCGATGTGGTCCGGGATCCGAGAACAAATCGAGTGAGTTGTGTCTCTCCCATGTATTGAAATCTTTGTGGACGATTTTTCGCCAGTATTAGTGGAAATTACACTATTTATAATTCAATTTTCCAGGGAACTGCATTCACTCTCAATGAACGACAATTACTTGGTATACATGGGCTACTCCCACCTTCCGTATTAACTCTGGACCAACAGGTATCAAAAATGCTGGCCAATCTAAAAAATATGAACGATAATTTGCAGCGTTACGTTTATCTTACTTCATTACAAGATCGAAATGAAGCTCTATTTTATAAGGTACGTCAGAGTTGTTACCTTAATTTTCTACTGATTAGATTCTTCTTATAGTATATTCAGGATAAAGGTATGCTCTTACAGTGACTAAGTACAGCTGACTCCTTGTTAATCTGTTTCAAGTTATCGCATCCAGCAATAATTTACGTTGACCGAATCTAAGGGACACTGATTTCACACTAAGGCTCAAACGTGTGACTATTATTATACTAGTTAGTACTTTTAAACTACTAACCTTTCTCATAACTTAGTTTTCGTGCTGTTGGAAACTAGCGTTCTTGTCCAATCAAGCACTTCTAATTAAACTCAATATCTGCTTTGAATACCAGATCCTAATGATAGTTGTTTATCAGCATGTTACAGCTTTATATTTTCATTATTCTTCCTTTTGTTTCCTGAAAACACTGAAGCGCGGCATAGCGTTACCTGGTTGGGGTCCGACAGTGTAACCGGTTTTTAGAGACTTTGAATGACATGGCTCAAAATCGCTTGCAATGGCGCAGATGCATCCATTGTTTGTCTTCTCTCAAATTCTAATCTTATGAATTCTTCATAACCTTTCTGTTTCTCTTTTTAAGTTTTCTTCACAGAGATAAACTTCTCAAATCTTATCGTCGACCCCTAATCTTTGGATTACCGCTGATACTTCATCTGCCTTTACCACTATGGGATTTTAATTGAAAATTTCATCATTCTGTGCTAATGTGGTGTGGCAACTTGTTGTTCCTGACTGAGTGACTGCCAGCATAGCCTCATCAATCCTCATCTCTAGGCGACATTTTTGACAAATTCATGTTCACCATTTTTAAAAACTCTTTTTTACCATTCTATGTTTATGAAGTATATTAGTATCATTTGCATTCGTGATGCTCCATTGCATTACTTACTGAGAACCGATAGTCCAATCTTTGACATTTAGCGGTCTAGATAACAATTTTCGACCGAATCAACTGTAAACCATAAGCTCAAGGTTAAATGGTTTCTTACTAGGGAAACAACCACTGTGATCTCGTATACTGCATGCGCCACTGCATTCTCCTACTTCTGATTTCATAATTTCAATATTTTTTTAAATTGTTATTCCCTATCCAGCTTGTCATCGAGCATGTAGAATATTGTATGCCGTTGATATATACACCAACTGTTGGTTTGGCTTGTCAACGCTATGGTGTAGTATTTCGACGACCTCGGTAAGAACTTCGATTGAATTAATATTTTCTCACATATCAAAAGTGCTGTCAGTTTTTTGATCACTTCCCATCCAACTGACGTTTTCCTTCATGAGGCGTTCAAATCCACCCATAATGCTGATTTAGCCAAAGTATATTTTCATAACCGTTTGTTTAAAGTTTTATGGTTTCTGCTAGGACCAGTTCTAAATGTAGGAAACTAATTAGTGTAAAAACTCATGGTGACTTCACCTCAAAGGGGAAAAGCGTACCGACAGTTGTACGAGAGTATAACGAGAGTTATTTACTCATTAATGACCAATATTTCCATTAATGCTATTTTGTTGATGAGATCAGCTAGATATCTAGCAGTTAAAAGTGGCACATATCTCTTTGTCAGATTAAGTCTCTAATAATAAAATTTACTGTACTCGGAAAAATTATATTTAAAAGATTTTATAGATGCTTGAGTCGCGGGACTTTGAACTTGTCTATATACGAATTGAATTCGTGTCTCGCACGTTTTCCCAGGTCTTTTATAGGAAGAACGAAGACTGGATAAGCCGAATAAAGTTGGTGTATTTGGTGGCCATTTCATGGCGTTGAAGAACTATGGAAACGTACCAGAGAAAGAACGACAGTACAGAGCAGCCAAAACAAGGTGGCGACCAGAAAAAAAGGGTGACACAATGACCGTAGCGCAATGTCGGTATATATAACGAAAGGAACAAGGGTCATTGTGTATTAACAAACGTACGAATCAACAAATGTTCGATAATACGTTTACTGATACAATCGATTACAATAGTGAATGTTACTATTTAACAAATCGAGTTTTTCTTCGTAAAAATGAGATCACTACGGCAGATTCCGCTAGAAAGGGTGAACAGTTTTGGATCTCGGCGGTTTTATCCGTGGGACTGGTCAGCAAACTTGCGATTGTAGAACGGAAGGGTTGACGAACAGGAATCGATCCATGATGCTCGAGTTGTCACCGAAGTCTTTTACCTAGAACGGTACCAGGAGTAACGTGCCAGGTCCGGTGCTCCAGTTGGCTTGCCACACCAGAGTGGTTCGTATCTGGAATCCAAAGATGGAGTTCGAAAGGCCAGGGCCAGAAAACGCTTCAGACGTAGTACGAAACCAAACTGAGCCAGGAAGCCAGAAACGACCATGATAACTAAAGTCGGGATCATATGTATGCAAGACGTAGTCGGAGTCAGAATGTCGACCAGGTACATCGACAGGGGCGTGGGTGATCAGACCAGCTGTAGCCAAGGTTGAGTAAAGTTGACGGAAGCGAGATGGCCGTAGTTGTAAGTTCAGCGTAAAATTACGAAAAAAGGGAGTGGCGACCATATAGTAAAGGGTAAAATCCTATACCCTATACGTTGCTTATTGGGAGGCTAATCGCGAGAGCGTGCAGTAGATGTACCTGGCGATCGGAACGTGAGGCGACAGTCTCGGTCATACCTCGTGGTTGAGAGCATGAGACTTTCATCTCATCCAAAGTCGGGGGCAGCGCGGTCTGCTTTTCTGGGTATGGGACTGAAGTGGTAGTGTTTCGTTCTCTGAGCTGGATGTTTTGTTTGTGGAGTTTTCATTGTTATTCTGAACAACATCATCGGAACAAACCTCAGATAGCAGTGATACCGAAGAATAATGCAGATGACGCGTACTGTTGACTGTGATGTGACAATGAGGTCCTTGATGTGTCTAATGTGGGGTCCGAACGAGATGAAGGGGTCCCGCTGGTGGATTGGATGCGTCTAGCACTGGATCTCTACTATCGGGTAGAGCACTTTCATCGACTTCTGTTGGCCTGGGATGACCAATGCTAGCGATATCGACACGACCATGTCGATAAACCTTGAAAGTTTTTTCTCGACGATAAATCATGTGAAAGTTTCTTTCGTAAGACTGCTGCAAAGGTTTCCGTACCGAATCTACTCGTATGAAAACATGTGAACAGGTAAACAACTCTTGGGGGAGAGCGACCTGTCGATGCTGTATTCGAGTTGACACCGGAGGCGGTGTTCGCATGTACTCGGATAGTCGTTGGACGTAATCTGGTAAATCAAAATAGTCACTGCTCCGTGGTGTGGAAAATTCATCGGGAACAGGAAAGTCCTGCTGTATACAAGTTCTGCATTTAAACCAGTTCTGATACCAAACAGAACGAGCGGTATGGTTTCGTATCTATTGTTGCCTTCGTGTGCTTTGAGGGCACTTTTGAGCTGATGATAAAACCTTTCAACTAAACCATTTGGTGCTGAGTGGTAGGTATTATTGTTAGGTGTGCCGATTTCGAGGTGTTCTTAGGCTTCGTTAATTAGCTCGTCTAGACAATCGTCACTAACTAGCGTCTGACGGTTTATAAATCAGAAGGCGAATTCGAAGTATGAATACGTTTATATTTTGGACACACCACATAGCGAAGTTGAAAAGCAGCGAAAGAATGAACGAAGGAAGCAAACGAATAGGCGAAGCGCATTGGAGAAGGCTAAGAGCCAACTCAAAGAAATAGAGCATGACTAAGAATATATAGTCAGACAAATATAAGACAGACATGCAACAAGCGAAATAGGCACACATGAATAAAAGCGACGAATGATTGACAAGGTCAAATGACACGTCATGTGAGCTCATACAAACCAGACAATAATAAGAACGAATGGTACATATAAATTGTTGCTACGCGAATGGCTTGGTTAAAAAAAATTAATCGAAAGGGCTTAACCAAGTTAGTTGTAAGCAAACTGGAATATGTGTGGAGGCACTACAGTATTGCACATGCGTTCCGTACCAAGCAGTCGGGTCAACGAGGAGAATAAATAAGACTCGGAATGTCATTGGTCGGTCGCGACAGTAGAGGGACAACCATACAGGGCTATCCGTCGTTCTTCAAAATGGTGGGCAACTGTCTCCGCCTTAATAAACGTGATTGGAATAGCTTCAGCCCATCTAGTGAGGCAATCAATGCACGTATGTGATCATACCCTGGTGGTGTCAACGGTCCTACAGTGTCTTTGTGAACGTGATTGAATCAAGCATCAGGTGTAGAGAAGGTGCCAATAGGGGCAGCTACGTGCCTATGCACTTTAGATCGTTGACAGTGTAAGCATTGCTTTGCCCAAATACGAAAATCTATTCATGGAAGGCCCAACGTATCGTGCAGCGATGATGTGTAAAGTGTGAGATAGTCCATGCAGGGTGTCGAACACGCAACGACGATAGACAGAGGGTACGATGGGTCGAGGTAAACCTTGTTGGGATAACAGTGTTACGCGCCGGTTATGCTCATCTACATTTGATGATGTGATTAGCAGGTCATTAATATGGGCGTGAACAAAATCTAAGACTCATGTTATGCTGTAGATAGACCTTTGGAAACTTTGAGCAGCATTCTGTAAACCGAATGGCATGCGTAGGAACTCAAATACCAAATCGAGTCATGACACCGGTTTTCTCAACATCTTCAGGAGCGACGGAGATCTCACGATATGCTCGTACCAGACCGATTTTAGAAAAGACGGTCGTGCCCTTTATTAATATCGTATATACGGGGGATCGGGTAGCTACATTCAATGACATGTAGTCTCTGCATGGTCACCATCTAACGTTATCTTTCTTACGAACCATGTGGAGAGGCGAGGCCCAAGGACTGTGAAAAGAACGAATAGTACATGTAGCTAGTATAGTGTCAAACTTACGCTTAGCGGAAATTAATTTATCCGGTGTCAGTTGGTGAGGTTTTGCCGTAACTGGGGGTCCGCGAGTGACGATGTGGTGTGCCACACTATTAGTCACCTATGTAATCTCGAGAGGTTTAGTAGCTGGGGGAATTCGATAAGTAAAAGTTGTTTCCCTCAGACAACTAACATCTGCAGTGATGCTGCCTTCTCACAAGGAAGGAAGGGGTTAGAAAAGGTAGACCCAGTTCAACTGGCATTCAACCACACTTCTGTTATCTCCAGTCATCCTGAATAGAAAGTCGATATACATCTTCCGACTCTTTATGAAGTTGAGAAAGTCATAGGAAATGTGAAGCGACGGAGAGCAGCGGGTCTTGATAGATTGACCCCTGATATTTTTAAGGATGGTGACCCACTTTTAGCAGTTAGATTGACTGAGATCTTAGGTAGAATTCGTAAACCGCGTGTAATCCCATCTGATCAATCTCAATCACTGATTGTCCCAGTCTACAAAAAACGACAAAATTCCTCTTGTGACAGTTACAGAGGAATTAGTTTAACTAATATAGTATCTAAAATATTAGCCTCAATAATACTCCGATGCGTAAATAAAGCCCGTGTAGAGCAGACTAGAGAAAACCAGTCTGGTTTCAGACCTGGACGTGGGTGTATTGACCAAATATTCACATTACATCAGGTCCTAGAACATAGACGCACGTTCAGAAGCCAATGGTAGTGTTTCTCGACCTAAGAGCGGCATTCGGCTTTGTCGATCGCAGTGTGTCTGTCATTAAAAGGTGTACTAAAGAAGTACATTAACCCTATACAATCTCTCTACTCGAACACAACAGGATTCGTTAGAGCTTATGGCGAACTGTCATCGGAATTCTCTACGTCAATTGGTTTCCGTCAGGGCTGTCTACTCTCTACGTTCTTGTTTAACTTTGTCGTAGATATGCTTTTAGAGTTAACATTATCATCGTCTGACCTTCCAGATGTAGACCCTCTACCAGGAGATTCATTGGTTGACTTAGAGTATGTTGATGACATAGTTCTATTCGGTGAAGATGCTGACAAAATACAGTCTTCCGACTACCCTAAGCAACATTGAAGCATGTTCGAGATGTGGTTTTTCCCTTCGAAATGCAAATTGTTGCGTCAGCACCTGAACCAATGATAGGGAGTGAAGTAGTTGAGCGTGTCGACCGCTTCACTCACCTGGGGAGTCTCATCAGTGTAGATGGCCTGGTGTGTGACGAAATCTCAGCACGAATACAGAAGGTTCGACTGTCTTTTGCCAACTTGCGTCACCTATGGCGTCGGCGAGATATCCGTTTGCTAACGAAAGGACGAGTGAGTGTACTGTGCAGCAGTTCGCTCCGTTCTACTTTGTAGATGCGAAACATGGTCCGTGAGAGTTGAAGACATTCGTAGGTTATTAGTATTCGATTATAGATGTCTTCGAATCATTGCTCGTATATTGTGGGACAATCGAGTAAACAATGCTATAGTTAGGAAACGAGTACTAGGTCGGTATGGCAGATCAGTTGATGAAGTAGTGCAACTGCATCAGTTGATGTGATTTGAACATGTGTTACGCATGCCCAACCACCGACTGCCTCGACGAGCGATGTTTTGTGTTGTCGGAATAGTTTGAAAGGAAGCTATGGGCGGCCAAACCATAATATGGCACAAATCCATGAAGTAACTGACAAGTGGATTGAGTCATGTTGGTAGATGTGGACTACGTGGTTGGGGTCCGCGAGACGAAAGTCATCGATGGCTAGAGACCTTGAATAACATGGCTCAAAATCGTTAGTGATAGCGCAGGTGCATTCATTCATTATGTTCTCTCAAATTCTTACCTGAATTCCTCATCATCAGTACATTTCTCTTTCTAAAGTTAGCTCACTGAATTATACTTCTCGAATAAAATCTTCAAACCCTAATCTTCTCCATTACTGCTAATACTTCTACTATCTCTACCACTATTGGATTTGAACTGACATTTGCATCTCTGTGCTGATGGGGCATGGCAACCTGAACTTGTGTACTCAAGTACAAAGTTCTACGTTGTAACTTTCTTACTGACTCACATAACCACGTTGAACTCGAAATTCCCTACATTTAAATTGTAGGTAATTTAGTGAATTCTCTTATCGACTACAAAGTTCGTTAAAATAGAATGCAGCATATTAATATTTTTGCAGACTAGTATTAGTGTGCGTGTTCATATTTTGGTTGTAATTAATAGTAAGTGCTCAAATTATTTATTGAATTTAAAAGCATCCTTATAAACGTTCAATTATTCTACCTACTTTAGTGGGCTTAGATATTGATTAGGTCATAGTTGTCATGTAGCAAAGTGGCGATTTTTAATCTTTTTGGGTTACAGAATATGAAGTAGATAACTTTGATGCTAATTCTTACGAGCTCTCAACACTGTAACCTTTTTAATGGCGTTGTCTTTAGTATGCAACCAAAGAGATAAAATTTAGGTGTTCTATTCCCCTACATTGTTTAAAGTTTTGAGTAATGGTATAGTTCGTATGGTGTTCTCCAACATGTTTGTACGTTAGTTAGAATTATGCTTTATAAAATATCTAATTGTTATATCTTTTGTCAAATCCCCCTTCATTGATCAGTTACCTTCTTATTCCCCGCTAGAGGTCTATACATAACAGTACACGATCGACATCATATACCTGAGATTCTAAATAATTGGCCTGAACCTATTGTGAAGGTGAGGTACTAAATTATTTTTTGTAAATTCCATTCATTTCTATAACTTTTGGTGAAATTGCAAAACATATTCAGGAGGACTTTTTAGGGTTTCCAATCCCACCTCTATCACGGCTGTTTAACAAAATTAATGGTTTTGGCCCTTTCGTGGTTCTAGTATGATAATTTATTTGACATGAAGTATACGAGACGTATGTTGACAGACGAACTTCTGGTTTCAGCTAAGTTATTTAAAAATCATATACTTATCAGGACATTTAAAAGACCCAATTGATAGACTTCCCGAATACGTTCAGGATCCCAATATTTCACCCCGACTATAGTTGCTACCTTGATGTGGTGGTCGGACTTGCCTACCGTGATGACCCGACCGAGCTATATTGGCTGGAACATATGTTCCTGTAGGTTCTACCATGCCATGTAGGTCGATTGGAGAAGGATGAAACTAAAGGCAACTACTCAAGGTCTGAGGGCGAAGTCTTACTGCTGACTGTAGAGAGGTGTGACAGAAGTAAGTTGTTTCCCTCAGACAACTAACATCTGCAGTGATGCTGCCTTCTCACAAGGAAGGAAGGGGTTAGATAAGGTTGACCCTAAAAATGTCACGTCTCACCTTACTCCACGGGTTTTCGTCTACGGTGGTAAGGCCTTTTAAACAAGAGCGGCGCTAACACTTCCAAAATTTCTTTTATGAATGCCGTGCATGATCGACCTCCAGCAGTTGCCCCTTAGGCTCCGCAGTCACGCGCCTAAGTCTCTAAGACCGACCCTAATCTACCTCCCTTTTCAGGTTCCTCAAGAAACACCCTTCCACGTTGTGGGCAACCGGGAAGTGACAACCGCCCTCACACCCGTAAAAGCACACGAGACCAGATCGGTCACAAACAAATCCTTCCTACACCTCTTAATCACTGTCTTATCTCTACGATCAACCTTTCTTTCGTTCCTTTATCACCTTGCTCCTCTGATGCAAATGTTTGTAACCCACGAAACGTTATTCCTGGTCTCCTGATGCCTCCCACTAAATCGCATGTTGGAGCTTTTTATTTTCGAACCTTGTGTCAAATAGGGCAACTGGCTTCATTAGCTAGTACTCTGGAATCCCGTGCCATCGATGTATGCTGCGTGTCCAAAACGCGCATACAGGATCCGAGCAAAATCATTAATCCGATTTCACCTTGTCCAGAGAATCAATTCGGTTCACGCTCCGTGTATCTGGAGGACGTGCTGCTGCTTCCTGTGGTCTCGCTATTGTAGGTGTAGTATTAAGCCCTAGGGCAGAACTAGCTTTCTTAGACTGGATCTAGGTAAACAGTCGCTTGTGCGCTGTCTGACTAAACGCGACAGTAACGACTCGTAAAGATAGGGGATTTCGCCGTTGTCTCTTTTTTTCCCTGCCTACCCTCCCACTTATCGCAGCTCGGACGAGATAAAAGATGAGTTTCACAGAAACCTTTCTAACCTTCATAAAGTCAAGCTCTCTGATGTGGATCTTTTTATGTCGTAGCTCAAAGATCAGATAATGGCGACCGTCTGTTGCAGCTATGCTCAAATAATCGACAATTTCTAGCAAGTACCCCCGAAGCCGACCCAACTAGACCACATTACTATCAGCCATCGGTGGAGAAGCTCTATTGAAGAATGCTGCTCATTCTGGAGCACTTATTCAGATTCAGACCATTCTGTAGTGCGAGCGAGTGCTACAACTGACACGATTAAAATACATGAAAATAGTAGGTAGTGCCCTTCAGTTTCTTCAATCTTATTGCACTAGTGTCATCTAACTGTATGAAACAGACATTAACATATAAATCTTTTACCAATTACATTCTAAATGTCGGTTCTCGACACTACACAGAATTCACTAACAATAATTCAATTGGGTTTCTTTCAGTTCATTATCAAAATAACCACACTTCCAGCAGATATTTGGTCACTGCTACATATATTCTAGATCAACTATTGCTATGTATCATATTAAAATTACCACAATTTCAAATCCAAGAACGTATTTAAAACCCCATTTTGTGTAATAGCGCAAAAGATGTACCAATTAAATTGATACACACGGCTAGTATAAAGTTTTTATAGGAGTTAACTCTTGATAAAATAATTTGATTAATGTAAAAAAAGGTAATAAAAATTAGTCGCCAGATGGTCATTCTCTTATCAACATTAGCGATCATTGTCCGCCACTAACTATGTGGCTCGATTGTTTGTTTACTCAACTATCAACCACTAGATTGCAAGTTTCAAACACTTTATATCTAGTGTTTTTAAAACAGCTGCATGATATCATTAACACAATGGCTATAAGTGATAAACTAATGTTAGTCAGAAAGCATATTATTACTGTCTTAAAATCTGATTATCAAATTATTTAAAATAAAAAAATACCAAGTACATTAAAACATCATAATATACAGTATTTATCATGTGTACACTGACTGAAACAAATCTATTGTTTAGTGTACTTGGCCCCGAATGCTTTTTATTGGAAATGATTGGATGATAATCAAAAACACTGACTTTGGATTACGCATGGACTCTTCTCAAATCCATTTATTCGAAGTTTGCACTTCCTCACCCGTAAACTCCCTACCTCATTGTTAACATTAAAATATCTAGCTTCTTATCCATTGAGTTGACAAAATCTCTGTCCAAGGTTTAAGATCAACACAGTCAAATTCTAGAGCGTTCTTATGGATTTTCTTCATTTTTATATTATTATAATCGACATTGGTTGTCTAGTATGTTTTGAGTTCCAGTTATTGATCCAGTGCCTTACTCTAGTTAGTGTAATCTATACCAAGTGGCATGATCTATATTGAAATTTGCTTGTTTACTGAAAATCGCTTTTTTAAGGCTATTGTGTTTACTGATGGTGAACGAATTCTTGGTTTGGGTGATTTGGGTGCATATGGCATGGGGATACCTATTGGGAAACTGTCGTTGTATACAGCACTAGCTGGTGTTCATCCGAAATATTGTTTACCAATCCTTCTAGATGTTGGTACAGATAATCAAGAACTATTGAATGTGAGTTGAGATTGTTCTTAATTCGAATTATTGGTTCTGTTCCTAAACTTGATGTGCTGATAACTTGTGGTTGATTTTCAGAACAGGCAGAATAGGATACAAGTTACAACTAACAAGATTATTTCGACGTGTAAATTTCTTGCATAGACTAATTCTTAATCGACAACGTCTTAATTCATTGACTGCGTCCAAATAGTGAATCGGGTCATCGCCATAAATTGTGACTCCTCATATTGTTAAAATAGCCCAGATGTAGGAAAAAATAAGCGTTTTTAGTTAAATAACCATTCTCTCACTATTAACTAGTAATAATATTATTGGTATATGTCACACATATGCCTTCATCTTGAAAAAGTATGCGAATAATTTTCAATCGGTAAATTGTTTAGCACAATAGGCTTCATCTTTGCTTGCGTATGACTGACACTTTTTAAAATGTAACGGTCGTCTACTAACCTTCCGTCAATTGTTACAAAATAACAACCTTCATATAGAATAAAATTGTTAGATTGTTGAAGTCATTTGACAGGGAATTCAACCTACTTTTCGTACTAGTTCCTTCTGATAAGATAAGAATTTACTACTGAGCTTTTATATAGGATTAGCATTTTAACATGTGTTAGCCACTGTACCGCCTAAATTCTATCGATCAAGTTACAATGTGGTTACTACGTTAAGCAACTTGACATTATAAAGCACTTCATTGGTTGTTTGGTGGTTAAATAACCAAGTCCTTGTCGTTCACTTCCAGTCACGTAGCTTTAGACACAACCCATAATAGTTTTAAGAACCTCAACCTAATGGCCTCGTTTCAAGTTGACCAATCATATTCGATCAGTAACTAAGAGCTAGAGAACACGATGTATGAGGAATTGTATTATGTTTTAGCATAAGCCATATACTTATATTATTAGTGTGATTGGGTTCTTCTATATACATGTATGTGTCAGTCTTGAATTCTCTCATCATGGTATAAAGTTACTATTGTTTTTTTATTTAGGTACTTACCGAACTTATTAATTTTCACTCAATCGTTTTTATCATCTTTATTGTTATTGATTTGTATGCAATTAATAGGTCAAATTTGATAGTTTTGCCATACTGACAGATTAATATAATAAATCAGTGATAAAATTTGCATTACATTATGTATAGTATCTTCTAAACAGTTCATGCTAATTAATTCTAGGGTTCATGGGCAATCAAATAAAGTGAAACAATAAATACGTTATCCTTTTGGCCTTTACGTATTCACCGATTATACCAATAGATAAGTTGGATAATTTTTTTGTTAGCTCAATGGTTTGTGGAAATTAGACAGATTTTGAGGTGATTTTCACCATGGAATAGCATCAGCTAAGAATTATTGTGAATTAGAGAACGTTGGTCAGTTATTCTTCTCTAATTTCTGCCTTCCTCAACAGTATGCAGTCACAACGTTTAAGATAAATGAAAACTCGGAACAATCGAGTCTTACGGGTGCGTGATCGTTAAGTCACTGAATCACTCCCCAGTTGTCCGTTGTTATTATGATGAATATTTAGATTTCCAATAACTTGGCGATATTGTGTGTCATGTGTAGCAGGCATTTTGACGATATGTTATTTACACTAAATACTTTATTCTCCTATACTGTTTTACATATATCTTGATCAATAAGTTCGTCTTCTGTCAAGTAACAGTACCACTAGGTTGATAAACCTACATAATCCATTTACATTACGATTGTCCGTTGTATATCACCAATTACTTTTTCTTCTGCAGGATCCTGTATATACAGGTCTTAAACATAAGCGTATACGCGATGAACGCTATGATGAATTAATCGAGAATTTTATGCAAGCTGTTGCAGAACGGTAAGATTCATAACAAGAATTGTAATGCTGTCATGTCCATTGTGATTCTTCTACATTTTCGTCAAATTTATTTATGAATATTATTATTATTATTTTTTAAATATAAAATTGATTGCCTAAATAATGGTCTATTATTTCATCTATTCATCAGTTACGGAAACCATTGTTTGGTTCAATTTGAAGATTTTGGCAATCATAATGCATTTCGTTTACTTGAACGATATCAAAACTCATACTGCACTTTCAACGATGATATACAAGGCAAGTAACTTGGTAGATTTTCTTTGAAAATTTCAGGGTTTTTTTTTGCTAAATAAGAAGTCTAGCCCCTTTTTATAGCATAGCATTAACCTAAAAGTTATGGTACAAATTTATTTATGAATTGTTTTCATCTTGTCATATAATCATTGTAGTCAGCGATTCAGTGAATGCAACTACTTGTGGCCAAAACACCTGCTTTATACTTAGTTGACATTTTCTAATGACCATATTGTACTGGTACAAATGACGGGTTTCATCCAATTAAACCAGTGTAATGACTATGGACTTTGAAAATAATATTTGATACAATCGACTCTGCTATTCTCTGCTTCTTTTTTGATTTTTCATTACCTCAATGCACACTTTGAACGTCTATGTAACATGATAAGACTTATTTCGATATCCAACTTACAAATTTAATCTTATCTAATACTTTAATTTCTCAACTATGAGCATTTCTATGTATACTAGCATTATAAAACCTCCGGCTTTAATTGTTTCAGTATATGCATACAAACATACAGAAAAGGCTCAAAAAATAAGGTATTGTTTTAATTACATTCTCGAAATATATTAGTTCTTTAAGTATCTCAGTTAAATTCGAATAATAGTTATTAAAATGTGCTTAACTTTCGTATATTTTTTCCATGTTTTTTTCTACGTTCAGGCACGGCAGCTGTAACGGTAGCCGGTTTACTAGCCGCCGGTCGTATTACACAGCGTAAGCTTGCGGATAATATATATCTTTTCGTCGGTGCTGGTGAAGTAAGTATAAATCTTTCTCATTCTAAGCCAATCCCTAGGCTTTCGTTCACCACCGTTTTAGCTTGAAAAACTTTGGCCACCTCTAAAACATACATTAACATCGTTAGCATACAAAAACAGAAATTAATAAAGTGACATAAATAACAAATCATTCAATAACTGGAGGATAGAAACAATGAGTTAACAAAGTTCAATATCGTTTTTAAGAAACATGGCAGATCACGATGTAATAAATAAGACATAGCTATATACGAGGTCAAAGAGAGTCAAGGTGGGGATGGGCGTTTAATACTATCATCTGTTGACTCGTTAACCGATGACTTCTTACGTCATCTGTATAGAGCGAGAGAGATCTCCAAGTTAATCACTGTGCAGTTTAATGACTACATTTATCTTATCTACCGTAATCTGGAAATATTTAATCTAAAATGCAAACAATATGTGACTGTAATTCACATGAAAGGTATCTGTATTCGTAGTCACACTATTGTAGACAATCATCTCCTATCTTAAATAGATTCTGAATTGAAATGAAATCCCTCATCTTACTACACACTCTTATACTGAATATAAATGAGAAAATGATTTACAGGTATGATCAAGTTGATACAGTGGTATACCCAATACAATATACATACATGCACACATTTTTGAAATTTCAATACATATTTGATTGTCAGCCTAGGTTGTTTGTGTTATAAGTATCATTTCCTCGTATAACTCGTATTTTTTTGTCTTTATTTTTAACCTGTGAACTAGTTCATTTTATCAGCTCTCAACTCCTTTTTTCATACCTCTCCCCTTCCAATACTGTTTTGTGTTTTTTCTGCCTATCGAATGTTTTGGCAAAATCTTAGGAAAGTTGTTAGATTATCGTTTTCTTTTTTAAAGCCCAATGTATCATCGTCAACGCGCATCAATAAGTATTGCAATGGATTTTTTTGACTTGTAGTTCTAGATCATCGATTGTATTCTCAGTTAAACGACTATTGAAAACCAGCAGAACTACCAATTCGATTCGCAGTTTTCAGTCGCTGTCTAAACAAAAGTCAATTCGAAATGTAAAACTACAAAATCCAACAGTCTTCACAATGTCATGCGTTGGCAGAACGTGCCTCCATTCCCACGTACACTAGCACCCTGACAAAACTGACCTGGGGTTTTTTTTTCTATCAATCAACGTCAAGGCTGTTTATGTATTCATTCATGATTAGTGAAACTTTTCTAAATTACACAACATAATAATCTTGTATAGTTTATGTTTATTATTATAATTTTAAAATAATATTAATTTTGAATATAAAATTACCTGAAAGTTCAACTTACGTACATGATAAAAATACTAACTAATAAAACACAAAATGTGTCATATCCTGTTAAAATGAAATATGGTTTTGTAAATAAATGAATGTAAACATTCATTTTTATTATTAACGAATAATTCTTAAAATTATCAATTTCATCGTCAAGTTATTTCAGTTTCCAAATCATAAATTATGGCAGTGTTTTTTCACTCACATACCATGACTTATTTATATATATAATGTGTATAGACTAGAGTGAATAATTAAAATTCTACCATAGACATTAACGACCGACTAATGTTAAATGCAGACAGTGAGAAATGTCGTTTTTTTTCAAAAAAAAATGATCCGTTCAGTGATTTCTTAAATATACCTTACTTCTGTCTGTTTTTATGCTGCTACGTTGATTTTATAGTTAAATCTGTTGATCTATAAATTCGAATCTTGTTCCATCTAATTTTCGTTTAGACAACAAGTTTACGGTCACCAGCAGTAGGATATATTGATTTCCACAAGACCACTATGTGGGAATTTGTGATTTTTAAAAGGCTGCAAGTCTCCATTTATCTATTTTCTTACAAATAGGCCGCAACTGGTATCGCTCAATTACTGGCAACATCACTACAACTGAATGGATTGGATGAAAAAGAGGCCTTGAGTAAAATGTATATGTTCGATAAGGATGGACTGTTAACACATGTAAATTTCATTATTTTTTTTGTTATTGCTAGTGTTGTAGAAGATTTCAGGCTTTTTTTTGTTTTGCTTGTATTGTCATATTGGTCTATTCAAATCCACCTTATTGATAGTTACAGTTATTCATTACCTTAACATCCTTGGGCATGCATAACAATAAGTTCAGTAATAAAGACAAACTCCTATTACAGTTTTGTACCACAAACGTCCAATTTTAATATTTATAATTTGTCATGGTATTGCATTTGATGCACAGAACCAAATAAGTTTTTGTTTAATCTGAATAATAATAACATGATGACATATGACACTTGTTCGGGTTGCATAGTTATCTGATTGGCAGTTGGATGTAGATGGAAACATTACGTAGGCTATTCATCGTTAGTATAGACAGTCATTATGTATGTGTGGCCATGGGCGAGTCATGCATAACAGAAACTTTCATCTCAAGTTACATTTTCGTCATGATTTTCTCATTTCAGTTTACAAGTACATTTCAGCAACCAAAATAGAGATTATTCCATGCAGAAATATCATTTTTAAGCAATCCAAGTCATAATTTTTCTTCTTTCTGTGTGATGACAAATGATCACTACTGTTTAAGCACTAATTAGAGATTATTCACTTTGTTCTACACTAGGAATAAATGATTACACTTAACCTATTGATATCCTGTATGCTTCGTTTGTGTCAATTATCACACTAAAAAATGAAAGAAATAACTCAGTTTATTATGATTAGTGTTATTCCAAATCAATAAATCTCTGTGTTTGTGTTTGTTATTCCTCGCATAGAGAGTAATGTGTATCACACTTCTAGCTTTTGCTTATTATTGACATAAAGTAAGAACAAAAACAAGTTTCTCCTGTTTTACAAATTTAAGCAAAACATGAACAACAAGTAGGTCAGACAGATAGATGTAACCGAACAATATTCCATAGTCAAACAACTCAACTCCTGTAAGTCAGTCAGTCAGATGCGACGTAGCATTTGAATTTATGACGCATAAATCACACGATACATCTTTTTAGCATCATAATACACTATCACTTTTAAAATTAAAAACATTCCCATAGTACGCTCTTTTGTTACTTTTATTTCAAAACCTAACATCAACTGCTTATGTTCTCCTGATGAAGCTTACCGGAAAACTGTAATTATTCGGATGTTAAAAGTTAGTATTGAATACACCTTGTGTGCACTAGCTTTAAGGACACATCAGAAATGAATGGAAGTCAGTCAGTCAGATGCAACGTAGAACTTGGTACGTAAGTACATCAGTTCATGTTGCCATACCACATTAGCACAGAGATATAATTGTCAATTCAAATCCAATAGTAGAAGAGGTAGTAAAGGTATTAGAAGTAATCGGTGAGGTTAGGATGAGAAGATATTCAAGAAATATGATTCAGTGAGAAAAGTTTAGAAAGTCAAAACTAGAGGGGTTGAAGAACCCAGAAGATTAGGATTTGAGAGAACACAAAGAATAAATGCACCTGCGCAATTGCGAACGATTTTGAGAATTGTCATTCAAGGTCTCTAACCATCAATTATTATCATCTCGCGGACCCCAACCAGGTAGTCGACAATTACAGACATGGCCAAGTCCACTCGTCAATGACTTCATGGGTTACTGTCATGTTTTGGTCTGGCCTCCCTTAGCTTTCTTCCAACCTATTCCTACACTACAAAACAAAGCTCGTCGAGGCAGTCGGTGTTTAGGCATACGCAGTACATGTCCCAACCACCTCAACTGATGAAGTTTCAATACTTCATCTATTTATCTGCCATTCTTACCTAGCAGCCGTTTCCTAATAACAGCGTTGCTCACTCGGGTGTCCCAGGATATACGAGCAATGTTTCGAAGACACCTATGATCGAAAACCAATAACCGACGAATGTCTTCTACTCTGACTGGCCATGTTTCGCAGCCATAAAATAGAACAGAGCGAACTACTGTGCAGTAAACTCGTGCTTCGAATGGCAGACAACTATCTCGCCTACTTCACAAGTGACGCAGGTTGGCAAAAGCCTATCAAGCCTTCTGTATCCGTGCTGAGATTTCGTCAGTCACCAGGCCATCAGCACTGATGAGACTCCCTAAGTGAGTGAAGCGGTCAACACGCTCAACTAGTTCAGGTGCCGATGCAACTCAATCTTGAAGCAACATTTTGCATTTCGAGGGAGAAAACCGCATCCGGAACGTGCTTGGATTGTTGCTTAGGGTAGTCAGAAAACTCTGCATTTTGTCAGCGTCTTCACCGAATAGAACTATGTCATCTGCATATTCTAAGTCGATAAGCAAGCCTCCTGGTAAAAGGTTTACTCCTGTAAATCTTGCACCGTATTTGTTACAGTTGTATACTGTACAAAATCTGCCTGTTTCATTGTGTAGTGTTACACTTCTAAAGTACAATTTTTGTAGTTTATATTGCACACCGTACCAAAACTTCACTCTTTTCACTTTTCAAGTGTAAATGAGTTCACGATTTAAAAGGTCCAACTCTTATTTGCTCTTATTTCATGAATAGTGAATATATTCTACCCTATAGGAACATCATTTTTTCATGATTACCTCTATGATAACTAGAATTATCGCATATCTGTGCCAGGCTGTACATGTATGACAATTGCCTGACTATTACTTACAATAAATACTTATATTCATTAGTTTTTATCGCGAATACCGGGATTCCTAGAACGTGTAGTCAGAAAATAAGTTTTTTGTGGCTTAGATTTAAAACTCGTCAATCAGTGACCATCCTGCTACAAACGCTTTTCTTCATTTTCCTCATTTGTATTTATCTGAAAAGGAAAGAAAATAGACGTTTATTTTTATTCTCTACGAATAATAAATAATTCGTTTTTCCTTACAAATAGTAATTTATTATTGCTTTGACTTCTATAATATATCCAGTCACGTCAAGAAGGTGCACTGACAGATCATAATAAAGTGTTTGCTCGTGACGATACAGAGAATATACGTAAACTGGAAGATGCAGTGCGAATATTAAAACCGACAGTGATTATTGGTATGTTATATTTACCAGTCTATTGTTTGTTAAATTTTTTTAATTTATATATCAGCCAAAACCATTTGAATATGTAGATCGGATTCGCCGGATTACCTTACCGATACCTATTTATCTGTGTGTGCAACACAGTTGCTATAATTCTCCGGTCTCTAGATTACATCAGTTTGGAACTTTATTTGATTGGCCTTCAAATTCAATGTGTAGCGCTCACCATATCCCTTGCACGTTACTTCACCACTAAGTAATCACTGTTGATTTTGCATTCGTCTAATCGGTTGGACAAATAAACTTGCAGAATGACAAAACTTAACATTAGCATTTTCATTAGTGGAAGATAACATGCGTTTTCTGAATACTACTAGTTCCTTAATCCTAACCATATATATATATGAATCCACCGCTGTATTGTTCTGTAACCATTAGGCCACACTGGTTCATCTGTTTGTTTGTTGTTTTTCTGTATTTGTAACATATTGTTTACATTTGAATGAATAAACATTACGTTAACCATATTATTAGGTGAATTATACGCTGAAATTTAAACAATGACGTAAAACACAGAAAAACAGTTTTTGTATGCTTAATTGTATTCAGTATGCTTGTTAACTCATGTTAAGAGTAACAAACAATACAGATTACTTAACAGTATACAGAGTTGAAACGTACTACAAAAAAACTAACACCCTTGAAAATGCTTCAGGTTTTATACGGGGAAAGATTACGTTATGTTCGTCACTTGGTATGCTTGAAGCTATTACGAGTTCACCTTAGTCGATAAACGCGAACGAGACAATACCAGCGTCCAGGTAGGCTACCTTGAATCCCAAGTTGTAGACAGAAGTCTTTGTAAGCATAGAACTATATTCTACAAACACCCAGCAATCACAATACCATCAAGCACAGAACCCTCGTTTATTTATACATCATAGAAACGTCCTTGGGGGACAGTTACGAAAATAGTACACTAAAATACACAGCAGCCAATCACAGCCATGGATTTTCCTGGTGGGAAATGAAATCTCAAAGTCAACTGATCAGCCCATGCTCGCAAACGTGAAATGCAGAATAAGGCATTTATCAAGCGAGTTCTGAGGATCTAACATTGTGGTGGTGTTTGGTTCTCTGAGCTGGATGTTTCTGTTGTGGAGCTTTCATTATTCTTCTGAACAACATCATCAGCACAAACTTCAGATAGAAGTGAAGCATTCGAATTTCTCCACGTTAGACCTGTAGCTTGTTCTGCTAACCTCGATCTTGATTGGTTGCTGTTGTCTTTTGACCTGTCGTTGTTTGCAACTATGTTTTGATTGCACCCCCCCCCTTTTGATCTGTTTCTTGATCCTATGATTTTTCTGATTGGTTGATAGATTGAGTCAACGTCGATGTGTTTGTTGATTGCTGATTGGCCTGAGTGCCAAGCTTCTAAAAATTCTCTAGTGTTCTTTGTCCTCCCCCTACCTAGTATTTGCACATTGTTCCAATCAAATGTGTGTCCATAGTTGTCGGTATGTATTGAGATAATTGAAGCGTTGTCGTGGCGTTTGACTGCTAATTGATGTTCACGTAAACGGAGCTGAAGAGGTCGTCCACTTTGTTTTATGTAGTGTTTTTCACAGTTTGAGCAATTTATTTTGTAGATGATATTTGGTTTTTCTTCTTTTGTCATTTTGTCCTTTAGTCTACATAGGATTGATTGAAGTGATTCTGTTGGTTTGTGTGCAACACCTATTCCAAATGGTTTCAGTAGTTGCCAATAACCTGACCGTAAATCCAGCACTGTAAACACCGTGGCATTCTGTAGCCGATCTAATGTTTCTACTACTGTTGGCATTGCGCACGGTTTCAGGTCTGTTATATTATTCAGTTCTCTAAAGTCGACGCAAAATCTATACTTTCCATTGGGTTTCTTTACCAAGAGTACCGATGAGCTGTACGGGCTGTCCGCTTCCTCAATTATACCTTCCTTCAACATTTCCTGGACCTGTCGATTTACGTCGGCCTCTAAATGCACCCGGGACACGACGTGTTGTAAATATATTTATTCGGTCGTTCTTTATAGGAATTTCATGCTTTACTTTTTCACAAAATCCATACGGCTCCCCATCTCCAGTGAACAGTTTCGCATACTTTGCGCATAACTCGCTAATGTCTGGTTTCTTGGTTGAGACATCCGTTGTCATTCTTATTTCAGCCACTTCGCTACTTTCGTGTATCGGCAATGAACCGTACTTTGTGACCATTTTATCGCTTCTCAAGTCAGTTATCGCTTTTACCTCTCTTAGGAAATCTGCTCCTAATATCGGTCTCGATAAGCTTGTGGTTACCACGAACGGAAAATTTATCTCAGCTCCACTCATTTTTACAATACTGTTAGATACCCCCAACACCTCTAGCATATGCCCTCCTATGGTGTGGACAGCTAATGTACATGGTTTGATTGTCTTACTTTGCTCTTTGCTTATTAACGATATATCTACCCCTGTATCGATCAAACACACTAACTCCTGTTCATTTATGTACACTCTGGCATAAATTGCCCGTCTATCTACTAGTGCAAGAACCTCCCTATTCCTAGGGTGGAAAGAAGACACGTCATAATGTTTAAAATATCGTCGTCGTCTTCTTGGACAGTTTTTCTTCAAATGTCCTGCCTCTCCACAAGCGTAACATTTATCGTTCCTTTTATGATTTACTCGTAATGCTGCTATCTCACGCCCTAACTCCTCAATCTTTTTCTCGAAAATATTTATCTCCTGCTTTTCGCACCCGACTGGAGCTACTGTTCGTGTCATCAGCTGACGAGTCACCTTCGCCAGTTCACCGATGTCCATAGGTTGTGCTGCTTTTACTAGTCTCAGCTGCTGGGACACGGCGGCAGGCACACTCTCAATAAATTGCGACGCCAACAAGTGTGCCTCCGACTCCTCATCGATATTCGGCAACGCACGGCGCAGCAACCTTTTGAGTTCCACAGCGAGCACCAGCGGGTCACCATCAGCCGACAGCCTCGCCGACCGGAACTTCTGGACTGTCGAACTCGGTCATCAGCCGCTCAATGACCGTCTCCCATGGCGTCTTCCCGCCAGCACCGTCCAAGCTGTCTCTATACGGCCCTCGCCCTTCCTCTCAGCAGCGTCCCCAGCACCACCAACTTCGCCTTCGGCTCCTTCACCCCCACCAGCTCCGCCACGGCCTCAAACTCCTTCAGGAAGCTCTGCACATCCCCGTCCGCAAACTGCTTCGGCCATGGAATCTTCATCCTTTGCGTAGGCAGCGACACCAAATGTAGTGAAGGAGAACACAGGTGAGGATCTAACATCCCCAACAGATTACACAAAACCATGTCTACAGAGTGGGTTGTATCAACTGTGATGTCCTTCACTTTGGAGAGTCATCTCATTAAATCTTAACTCGAACCAAAGAATAAACCTCACAAAAAGTTACCTAATGATCTTGCATTAGCATAAAAACAACTGCGATCTAACTTGATTACTGTTTACACCCATCCACGCATTGTATAATTTTTCTCACTGCTCAAACCTATCTGTCGCCCATTAATATTAACAGTCTTAATATTTTGTCTTAAGATGAATATACGGTGGATTATATTCGATATGATTCCTAAACTTCGTATACTGCTCATCTTGATAACCGTTAACTAAATAACGCTCAACGGTGTGTAAAATTCATCAGAAGATAAAAAGCATTGAGGATGTTTATTATCGCAAAATACTAATCACAAAACCACAGGCATATGAAGTGAAACGCTATGCCAGCAAATAAATAGTATTAAAAATGTGCAAACATGTATGTAGGAAAATAAATAACTTACCGATTTATTTAAGTGACCAACATTAAATCTAGTAGGATGAATATGTACCTAGGCCGTAACCAATGTTCTAGCCAGCACGCACATACAAACGCGATAGTAATATTAATGATAGTCACAAGTGTATAGACAAATTGTTGTTGTTGTTCGAATGACTGCCTGTTAAATAAGTTAATTAGAGGGCTTAACCAAGTCGGCAAAACCAACTCAAACGTATGTGAGATGAGACAAGTACGAAAGTTAGAAATTTGTATATTGATTACCTTTTTAATTACAGTGAGTTCTAGTTAACACTCCGTCACTTGTTTAGATTCAGTTTTGAACGTGGCTACAGCCAGAGGTAACCACTAAATTTTTTAAATATTATTGCCATACCCCTAAAATTTACCGTTAAAGATAAAGAAAAAACCTTTCGTCTTGATGTCAGTTAATTTGATTTGTTGCACTGAGTGTTATTTCGTTCCTTTGCCTTCACTAAGTCTCAGAATGTTATAAATTTTACATGCTTTTATACCTGCTGCCCCTAATGGAACATAGGTCGCCAACCAGCATTCTCCAACCGACTCTGTCCTAGATCTTCCCTTCCAGTTCTACCCAATTACTATTTATTCTTTCTATATCTGTCTCCAACAGTCTAGCCGCCTGTATCCGTGCTGAGATTTCGTCAGTCACCAGACCCTCATCACTGATGAGACTCCCAGGATAAGGGGAGCGGTCGACAAGCGCAACTGCTTCACTCACTATCACTAGTTCAGGTGCCGATGAAAACCAGTCCTGAAGCAATACTTTGCATTTCGAAGGGGAGAATCTCATCGCGAACGTGCTTGCATTATTGCTTAGGGTAGTCAGAAGACTGCATTTTATCAGCGTCTTCACCAAGTAGAACTATGTCATCGTCATATTCTAAGTCAAACGAATCTTCCAGTAAAGGCCAGTTGAATTGATCCCTGAAATGTTCTTCCCATCGATCCAGTCTTTTGGGTTGAGAATGAGTGATATAACCATCCTTTTCCGAGATTGTTTCGCTAACAAATGGATCACTAGTACTAGTTTCCTTGATAAGGCAGAAAAGTTGTCTACTGCTACCTATCATCGCTACCTCTTCCATTGCGCAGGCTTTTTATCAGCCTGCGCCTCAGGTAACTCCACTCTTCATCGTACTGAGAGCCGGACGGGGTGAGTTTGTGAGCATCCATCAGTTCGCTAGATGCTACTGAAATCCACCACTTCTCTCTAATCTTGTGGTTTACCTTACTAGCAGATATAACTGCTGTTTCAACAGCTTTTCGGATATCATTCCGAGATGCCTCGGGGACTGCGAGTCAGTCTCTAACAGATCTCTCTTATTCTAAACTCCGCCAGGTTGCTTTTTCATTCATTCGGTAACTTGAGTGGTTCATAGAACGAGAATCCACCACCTGAGCTACAAATTTTTTCCACCATCTCACAAGTAGAACTCATTAGAAGCAAGCTGAACACGATTTCTTTCATCACGGGACATCATAACTGCTAAATGAAGATCCTTCAAATTCCAGGGTGGAGTTTAAATGATTAAAATGAGTTTTTCTGGTGGTGTCTATTTAGCAAGGCTTTTTTTCTACGGGATGGTGTGGTTAGCAATGTCATCCTTTATCCAGTATTAGAACCAGCAGTACTCTAGGTGGAATGTAACTATAACCAGGAGTTTCCTGTAATTTACGTATATATTTTTAGAGAGAAATGTTTTTTTTATTCAATCTGTTTTGTGCTACAATAAATTAATGAATGATTTTTAATGTCCTCAAGCTAATTTACAACTTTTTAACCCTGAGAATTTGTATTCGTAGCCATTAATAGTCTGAAAAACAGGTGTACAACTTTGAGATCACTTGTGATTATTAAATGCACAACACGTAGTAGTATCTCATAGCATTGATTTTCATTTAAAGCAGTACAAAGTATTTTTCATTTCCTCGCTAACACTTGATAGGTGCATCTGGACAAGGTGGTATTTTCACAGATGCTATCCTTCAACAAATGGTTAAAAATTCTGAACGGCCAATCATATTTTCATTGAGCAATCCAACTTCGAAATCCGAGTGCACCGCTGAAAGAGCATATCGAATCACAGAGGTAAGATTAACTATCAAGTAAATATATTATATTTTTCCTCCATCTATTTTAACATAACTTTCGACGTGAGTGATAGTAGTCTCGAAATTTTTTTCCAAGCATCGTTCTGATGATATTTTTAAGATTTTAACCTTTTCGATAACAGCTTCACTACATCCTTCACTCTCTCCCTACTTTCTGCATCTTTGTTGAATAATCTACCTTGAAAATTGTATGATTCATTATACAAAACTATACATTCCTATTAATCGAGCAATTTAGTTATTTCAATTAAACATTTTCTAGTCACTGTGTGTGTACATTCTGTACATGATAACTCTTTTATGGCCCAGGTTTATACTCCCGTTATTGATAGTAGTTTACAAGAGCTCAGTGGCTTTTCGACCTAAATTCATAGCTTGATTTTTCGTCCTCTTAAATCCAAGAGTAATAAAGTGGAAAACTAACTTTTCTTCAGAGTTAAAAATCTTGATATTTATACCTCAAAGAATTGCGTTGTCACGTTGTCCAGTTAGTATATTTAACCCCAAGGTGAACTAAATTAATGAACAGTCATTTCGGATTTAACTTTTCTTATTTCTGATATTATTTGATAGAGTAATGTGATCGCATTTTCGAACACTAAATCCACCTTCCCAATCGATACACGAATCCCTAGAGCCGGTAGTGAAAGTTTCAGTTTCATCGTTAACCACTTGTTTTTTAACCCTAAACTTCTGTGGTTGTATGACGTGCATTTTATTTAAATTTTTTTCAAGGGTCGATGCGTGTTTGCCAGTGGTTCACCCTTCAGTGATGTTTCAGTTAAAGTTTCTGGGAAAGTAGTACATTTTCAACCTGGTCAGTGTAACAATTCTTACATTTTCCCTGGTGTGGGACTGGCCATTACACTGTGCCAAATTCGTCCAGTTTTACAAGAACTGTTTGTGATCGCTGCTGAAGTAAGCATCTTATTTTACTGGCTTGTTTTTAACGTACTTGAATGTGATCAACAATGTTATCGTCGGTTGCGCACACATTTGACTATGTGATTATTTCCTGCTGTTTTTTGCACGTTTTCGTTATCAGTAAGCACAACGATTTTTAATTTCCTAGAGACAGCTCTGATGAATGTAGATAATGGGGGTGTGGATTTGTTACCTACAGAAAGACTTTTCAACCTTGAGTGTGTGTATGATATTGCCGTACTATATGATGACACCCAAGCCATTCAATCTTCACTTAACCTGTTAGGCGTCAGTGTTCGTAAGTATGCCATGTGCTCTACACCTAAGTACAAAGTACCTTTAGCAGACCGGCTTGACCCTAAACCTGCTCGCACTCCTGGTAGCGAGCAGATAGCATTAGTCTGAATGTTCGTGTACCTGAGTAGCAGAGTAAGTGCTGGTGGTGGTGTGAGTGATGACATCAGTTCATGTTGCCATACCACATTAGCACAGAGATATAATTGTCAATTCAAATCCAATAGTAGAAGAGGCATTAAAGGCATTAGAAGTAATCGGAGAGGTTAGGATTAGAAGATATTATTCAAGAATCTTGATTAAATGAAAAAAGTTTACAAAGTCAAAACTAGAGGTGTTGAAGAACCCAGAAGATTAGGAATTGAGAGAATACAAAGAATAAATGCACCTGCTCAATTGCAAACGTTTTTGAGAATTGTCATTCAAGGTCTCTAACCATCAATTATTATCATCTGACGGACCCCAACCAGGTAGTCGATAACTACCGACATGACTCAGTCCACTTGTCAATGACTTCATGGATTACTGTCATGTTTTGGTCTGGCCGCCCCTAGCTTTCTTCCAACCTATTCCCACACTACAAAACAAAGCTCGTCGAGGCAGTCGGTGGTTAGGCATACGCAGTGCATGTCCCAACCACCTCAACTGATGAAGTTTCAATACTTCATCTATTGATCTTCCATTCTTACCTAGCAACCGTTTCCTAATAACAGCGTTGCTCACTCGGTTGTCCCAGGATATACGAGCGATGTTTCGAAGACACCTATGATCGAGTATTGATAACCTATGTTTATCCTGTACTCTGACTGGCCATGTTTCGCAGCCATAAAATAGAACAGAGCGATCTGCTGTGCGGTAAACTCGTGCTTCGGATGGCAGACAACTTTCTCGCCTACTTCATAAGTGACGCAGGTTGGCAAAAGTCAATTGAGCCTTCTGTATCCGAGCTGAGATTCCGTCAGTCACCAGGCCATCAGCACTGATGAGACTCCCCAGGTGAGTGAAGCGGTTAACACGCTCAACTAGTTCAGGTGCCGATGCAACTCAATCTTGAAGCAACATTTTGCATTTCGAGGGGGAAAACCGCATCTCGAACGTGCTTGGATTGTTGCTTAGGGTAGTCAGAAGACTGCATTTTGTCAGCGTCTTCACCGAATAGAATTATGTCATCTACATATTCTAAGTCGATTAGCAAGCCTCCTGGTAGAAGGTCTACTCCTGAAAAATCAGACGAGGATAAGGTTATTTCTATGATAAAACTAAACAAGAGAGTGGACATCCTTGACGGCCACCACTTGAAGTGGAGAATTCCGGTGACAGTTCGCCATAAGCTCTCACTCGACCAGTGGTGTTCGAGTAGAGAGCTTGTATGAGGTTAATGTTCTTCTTTGGTACACCTTTCAATGACAGACACTGCCACAGAACCTCACGATCCACAGAGTCAAATGCCGCCTTAAGGTCCAGGAAAACAACTATTGTCGGACGCCTAAATGTGTGTCTGTGTTCCAGGACCTGTGGTAGTGTGAAAATGTGGTCTATACAGCCACGTCCAGGTCGAAAACCAGCTTGGTTTTCTCGAGTTTGCTCTTCATGAGCTTTCGTTAAGCGTCGAAGTATTATTGAGGCCAATATTTTGGATACTATGTTAGTTAGACTTATTCCTCTGTGATTGTCACAAGAAGACGTGTGTTCTTTCTTATAGATTGGGACAATCAAGGATAGAGACCAGTCAGATGGGATTGTGTCCAGTTCCCACATTCTACGTAAGATCTCAGTCAACCTAGCTGCTAAAAACCATCCTTAAATATCTCAGGGGTCAGTCTATCAGGACCTGCAGCTCTCCCTCTCTTCAGATTTCTTAAAACTTTCTCAACTTCATAAAGACTAGGGGGACTTACGTCGGTTTGCCATTTAGGACGACCGGAGATCGTGGGTAACCGAAGAGTGGCTCGTGGCCAGTTGAACTGATCCCTAAAGTGTTCTGCCCATCGGTCCAATCTCCTGGATTGAGAATGAATAATAAGATCATCCTTTTCCGAAATAGTCTCACTCACACTAGGATTCCTAATACCAGTTTCTTTGATGAGTATAAATAGTTGCCTACTGTTGCCTATCGCCGCTGCCTTTTCCATCTCTCTCGCTTTCTCCACCCACCACTGTTCTCGATCATTGCGTAGGCTTTTTATCAGCCTACGTCTAATCTGACTCCGCTCCTCGTCGCCCTCAGAGCCAGGCGGAATGAGTTTTCGAGCATCCATGAGTTCGGTAGATGCTATTAAGATCCACGGCTTCATCTTATCCTAATGGTTTACCTTACTAGAAGATAACACGGCTGTTTCCACGAACCTTTTGATATCTTACCAATCTGCTTCTGAATGGGAATCGCTTACATGGTTGCTTAACTCTGTTTCTAGTTGCTACTGAAATATTTTCTTGGTTTGATTATCATTCAGTAAAACTCTAAGAGGCTTTCTTACTGTGTCTTTCCTACGCCCAGTAAGCCTCAAACAGATACGCCCTCGCACTAGGGCATGATCTGAATCTAAACATGTGCCCCAGAACGAGCGACAGTCCTCTATCGAACCCCTCCATCGGTGGTTGATGGCGATGTGATCTAGTTGAGTCCAATGTTGAGACGACTTTGGAGGTCGCCAGGTCAACAGATGCTTTTCCTGATGCCTAAAGTTAGTGTTTGCTAAGAATAGGCGGTTGTCTGAGCACAGTTGCAACAGACGGTCGCCATTGTCTGTTCTCTGAGCGGCGACACCATAAGATCCACCTAGGTGTCTTTCATTTTCACTCAGTCTACCTACTTGAGCATTAAAGTCACCAGCCATTATTACTACATCAGAGTGCCTAACGTTTTGGAGGAGGTCCGAAAGCTTTCTGTAAAACTCATCTTTTACCTCGTCTGAACTGCAGTCAGTGGGGGCATAGGCAGAAATGACGAAGAGGCAACGGCGAGTGTCCTTATCTTTCTGAGTCCTTACTGTCCCGTTTAGTCGGACAGCGCACAATCGACTATCTACTGGGATCCATTCTAGGAGAGATTGTTCGGCTCTACAACTCAATGCTATGCCTACGCCAGCAAGACCCCTGGAAGCATCATCAGGGCCTCCAGATAAACGAAGAGTAAATCGAGTTGCTTCTTTATTTTGACAAGGTGAAATCAGATTAATAATTTTACTAGGATCCTGTATGCACGTTTCCGAGACGCAGCATACATCGATGGCACGAGATTCCAAAAGTCCTAGCTAAGGAAGCCTGTTGCCCTATTTGACACAATGTCCGTACATTAAAAGCTCCAACATGTGGTCTAGAACGGGGTTTCAAGAGACCAGGAATGACGTTTCGTGAACTTGCTTCGTCTGCATTAGCGTTGCAGTGAGAAAAGTGACTGTGAGTAGAGTTTGTTGTGGAGATAAGAGAGATGTTATGTGGTGAAGGAAGGATTTGATTGTGCCTAATCTGGTCTTGCGTGCTGTTACATGTATGACGGTGGATGTCACTTCCCGGCTGCCCACACCGTGGAACGTGTTTTTTGAGGAACCTGAAAAGGAAGGTAGATTACTGCCGGTCTTAGAGATCTGGGAGCGTAACCGCAGAGTCCAAGGGACAACTGCTTGAGGCCGATCACGCACGGCCTTTTTTGAAGGGTTTTTTGAGTATTAGCTCCGCTCTTGAAAGCCCTTAGTGGGCACCCTTACCCAAGGAGACGGAAATCCGTGAGGTAGGGGAGGTGTGACATTTTTAGGGCCGACCTTTTCTAACCCTTCCTTCCTTGTAAGAAGGCAGCATCGCTGCAGATGCTGGTTGTCCGAGGGAAACACTTTACTGCTGTCACACCTCTCTACAGTCAGCAGTACGACTTCGCCCTCAGACCTTGAGTAGTTGCCTTTAGTTTCATCCTTCTCCAATCGACCTACATGGCACGGTAGAACCTTCAGGAATATATGTTCCAGCCAATATAGCTCAGTTATGTCATCACGATAGGCAAGAGTGACCACCACGTCAAGGTAGCAGCTACGGTCGGTTGGAAAAAGTGAAGAGGTGGTCGTTGTTGAACCAAAGTCTATATGCTTAAATAATAACAATTCCCTTGGCTGTTGATGTTAAAAAAAAAATTATCTGGCATCATTTGTCACTTGTATCCACAGTCTCTACATTTCCATTCAAATTTATACTTACAGCCTTTTGTTTTGGTGTTAGCAAATTTGCTATTATTTTGACCAGCTTCATTTTCTCTGTAATTGTTCAAAGTTACAGTTTAGCTACTTCTTTGCCTCTTCATTCCTAGGTCTGCATAATTTACATTGGAAAGATGTAGTTTTGTCATAATTCAGACATTTTCCAAGTAGCTTGTTAAAAAAAAATTACGCTGTGTATGTTGTTGTCGTCGTCTATCTAACCAAATAAAATGCAAATCATCGAATGAGGACAAACTTAAGTAAGAAGAACAGTAGCATGAACAAAGGTGAACTTCATGTACATGTACGTGTTCTATTGCAAATCGAAAAAAAAAGAAAATTGACACTTTAATGTATTTGGTTAAGATCTGCAATTGTTTGAATGCATGGCATTTCTATTGGAAAGTTAAATCAATGGATCATTAGATCGATTAAAATTTAGAAATGTAAGTAAGGAGATAAGGCAAATGGACTGATTAGTTAAATGCCAAAACAATACCATTTTTATTGTGCTTCCTTTTCCATGCTGTTTATTTCTTTGTTGTTTTTTTTTTTAACACTTCCAAGTGTTTAGCCGATCAAGTAGAGGAAAAAGACTTGAATGTCGGTCGTGTATTTCCACCGTTACGAGATATACGCCGTGTTTCATTAGCCATAGCGGTCCGTGTTGCCGAATATGCCTATTCGAAGGGTGTTTGTCATTATTTACCACAACCTAAAGATATTGAATTGTATTTATCTCAAAAAATGTATGATCCAAACTATATACCAGTTATACCGAAAATATATGATTGGCCTCCTGATGTCACTGATACAGTCGCATGAAGATTATGATTTTCAAAACAAAACAAAAAAAACTGATTGAACTCTATTTATTTTCTCACCATCTAGTTCACTCAGTGTATATCTGTTTCTTTTTTTTTTCTATGATAATGTGGCTTTAATTCAGGCTAATTTACTATTCACAATCTCGTTTACACCTTGTATTATGCTTCTTTACTTTTTATCCTCTTTATGATTATAAAATATACTACTGCAATACTACTTACAACATTGTGATTATAATGTTATCTAGTGTGTTGACTGTTCTTCTCCTTTTTTGTTGTTGTTGTTGTTGTTTAATAATGTTTCCTGTCTATTTTAATGATGAGACAGCAGTCGCAATCATGACCAGTCAATTTATTTTGTCGAGAATTCGATTGTAATTTTCTCTAAATAATCAAAACCAGCCAGTTGTTGAGAGTTTATGTAGATGTCTCGGTTCCCGTTACAACGTGTATGTTATTCACCTTAGTTCAAGTTATCATTTTGAAGAAAGCACAAAACAACTTTTAAGCAGAGTACCATGAATTCCTTTTATTTCGTAAGATTCTCTTCAGCTGATTTAAAAAGAAAGCAATCACAAAACAAGTTAATGAAAATAGATTTGAACTAATTCAAAGGATCAAACGAAAATATCTACCAATGTATGGTTTAAGTAGATGCACCTTATACAACAATGATAGTAAAAAAGACCAAAAAAGAAAAGCTAAAGATAACATTAATCGTAATTAAGATTAGAATGAGTAAAAACTCCATTTGTTAAAATAAAAGTATTCATGTAGAAGGGTGTCGAAAATAAACATATTGATGTAGTCAATGGAAAGAAAGATTTGAACAAAATTTTATGGTGTAGTAATAATTAATTATCTGTTACTAAGGCAAAGAAAGATTCGTAAGTCGAAATCATACGTTCTTAATACATTACAATCGTTTATCGTATCAGTTCATGCACACATCATTATCTTAACTGTACACAGAATCGATCAAGGTATTTGTGGAGCATATAAACTCTTGGTCTGAATAAGCATAAATCATTATGATGGAGTGTTGTGTCCCGAACTCTTGATCGGTATCACGTGATAAATACCAAACATTCATGATTACATTTAGCACCAGAAACGTTGAGTCAACTCTAAATGTTTATTGGTTCACAACTCGATAACTTCTTCCTTCCTACCCAGTCCGGAATTCCGTAGCCAACCTATATATATATTTCAGACAGACAGTTTATAAACAAAACATACAAGAACACATCACACCATAATATGAGAAAATACATTATACATGAGCGAGCCAAAAGTGGCTGTGAATAGAAGAGTCAATTAATAATAAACGAGTCAGAGATAGCAAACCACACAAAATTAGTTAATGGTTTGATCAAGAGCTTATGAAATATAAATATATGATAATCTATGTATATAATATTAATAATCCATATGTTAGTCCTAGGAGTTGTCGTCTCTCGAGTCTTTTCCCCGAATATAGCGCCTCTTCTTGAAACACTAACACAGGGGTCTTCTCTGAACATTTGGATCATTCTCACTAGAATCTGAAACTTCCGTTGATGTTTAATTGACAGAGTGAATAGTACTTGTGAAGATATTGTTCCCACTCAAGATCTTTAAACTGCTATCTGGTTTTTCGTTCAGTATCCATGGTAAGATAAATTACCTTACTTATTATCACCCTACTAACACATTTATCAAGTAGTTAGTAGAAGTCATCTTGTTTAAATGAATGAATGAATGTTAAATATTGGGCGTGGCCTAGTATTTTTCATCGATTTATTTGACTTTGTCCTTTTGGGCTCGATTGAAATGTCAATATTTTCTCACTTAACAAGTATTTCACTTCATTTTCTAAAATTTGGATGATCGCCCTTTAAATCCATCTGAATTATATCATTGTAAGAATGATTCTGTCTAGATAAATGGAATCATAGTTAATTAGTAAATTATCTTTCTACAACAAGTGAAATGAAGATTTTGTTTAAAAACTCTGTACAGCCACGAATATTGCTTGCGAACATTTTCTCAGTAGGCAGTTTTTATTGATTTGGATATTTGAAACACAGTAAGCACTCCCTGAACTACTGGATTTATCGAAGAAAACTTTTACATTAACGATTCACGCTTGATATTTTCCACAATATATCAGCATATGTTCAAATAGTTGTACCAGCCTTCATAATTTCTTCATGATAACTGAATGAACCAATTGAATGGCATTTTGATCATTTTACGTTTATCTCCGTATATAAAGTTCATTTTGAATATCCATAGCTTGGAACTATTACGAGTTCACATTACTCAGTGAATGGAACGATACAGTGACACGATAGTCTATGCTAATCCGTTTGTCCCTTAATAAGGCGTAGAGAATGTATTCTATAATCACCCAGAAAATACAAGGTGACTAAGCACGCAAATCAAGCTTATTGATACAATGATAGAAACGCCCTTAGGACAGCCACAAAGTAGCGTACTAAGATAATCCATCAATAGTCAAGGATTTTCCGAGGGGGAAATGTAAGCTAAAGATCAACTTATCATCTCTGGCGCGAAAATTAGGACCTTTCCCAAGTGAGTTCTGGGTATCTAACGTCACCAACACATATGAGAAATTTACATAGTTCAAGTATAATTTTGTTCATTCAGTTGTTATTTCATGATTAAAGTGTCTTTACATGGGCTGTTAAACAAAATGTACTTCTGAAACCTGTATATTTCGAATTTTTCCCATCCGATCTGATATTTGTTGCATGAACAATTTCGTGAAGAAAATTTAAGTATTCATCAAAGTAACATGTTTGTCATCACAATGCGTAAGTGTTATTTGTACAATAGAACAGATTCCCAAAACAATATCCAGTAATATGAAACAGGATAAAAACTACTGAAGAATCCTTCTCTCTACCTGGTACCACTAAAAAATTTATAAATCTTATCTAACTAATTTAAACAAAAGAATGTTTTTCAATAAAAATTTATTGAACTAGTTTTCATCATTTTCAAAGAACACAAGTATAAGACCTTCAGAACTATATTAATGGATAGGTTGATGTCACATAATAAAATGAACATAGTAGTAGTATAATGAGTCACTACCAGTTGTTTGCATAGAGAATTTTTGAAAGTTTCTAAAATTCTGTTTCACCGTTTATACTACTATTAAGTAGTATATATATTTCTATGTATTAGTCTTGGTCACATTGGTTAAGGCACTAGTCAATCAATAAGTCTCATGTTTATTTTGCTCACGTCATGTATGCTGAATTACGTCAAATATTCATCAAAATTCATTTCAAACTCTGTTTTAACTCCGAAGAAATATAGTAAGAAAGTATGGAAAGCATTTTATTTGAACATCTGTTCACGGAAAAATCTTATCTATCATGAACACTTTTTATTACAGCAGCAACTGTTAATCGATGTTCAAATGACACACGTGATTTTTGATCAAAAATATTTCAGAGAAGAAAATTAACAAAATCAGTGGTACAGATGTAGTATGGAGATTGTTATTTTCAAACTTTTAATAAGTAAGTAGACTGTTGGAAAATTCAAAAAATTCTTGACAACAACTTACTACTACAATACTGGATATTTTTGTATGCTAAAAAGTTTATCGACGTTCGAGTTAGTCAGTCCCTGGATGTTGGACCATATTAAGTATATTACAGAACGACAATCGTCTTTGCGAAATGAAAATGTTAATTTCAAAAGGCATTAAATTTTTCGCGTTTTATTTTCAAGTTATATTTCCCCGGACTCTAATCATTCCTTAAAAACATCTTTTGATGCCAACTACACAAATATATGAAAGTCATGTAAGAAATTCCAACTGAAAACCTCAATGACAGGAGAGGTAATGATGCTAAGATAGCCAAAACTATTTCAGTTAATATAAAGCCCAACGGATCACCATAAGTAAGTAATTGAATACTATCAAAGAAAATCGGTGTTTATTTCATCAAATAAAGCACTTATGTGATATTCACTTATTTACAGAATATATTGCACAAAATGAATATGATTAAATTTGATTTAAAGGATAAATCACTGTTCTATACTTGTTTCTTACATCATTAATCAATCTATGAGATTCAGACCGAATCATCAGGTTTACATACTGTTCCCTATATCATACAGAAGGATTTGCCCAAATTTAGCTCACCAGTCATCATCAAACAATGATTTGGTGATTGGAAATTACAAAATACCCTACACTCACTATACATTCGTCAACGCAGGTGATATATAATTTCTCTGACCCTGTATAATACTTTTAGTCTACATGGTCCTCAACAAAGAGCTTGGTTCACTTGAAACGAGCTCTTTCATCTCTATATATAACTCTAAATAGTCCATGAATATCCTGATCGTTTTTACCACATTTTTTGAAAATCTTAAGTAACTCGGTTAATGTATTTATGTGGGATTATAAATTCTAGTTTCAGTTTTAAAAGTATTCGGTAAATTTTGCGCTTCAACTTCTCAATGATATAAAAAGATTGGAATTCGAATAAGAGTTGATTCTATCTGTAAGTGGTAGATAACTGCGATTGCTTTGGTGAATATAATTTTAGCTACCACAACGTTGAATGTAAAGAAAGCACAAACTGTATGTTGATAATAAAAGTGTACACTGAAATATAATATACATTTTTTCTCAAAGTACCTATGTTTTTCCATAACAGTTTGTACAATCTTGTCCTATCAACCGACTGAATAAATCATGTATGTAATTCAGCAATTACTTATTTACACATAATTGGTTGAATAGGATTCTACAAATTTATCTTATATCCAGGGTTGGTTAGCATCATATTTTACACGCCATCTGTTGTCTGTTTAAAGCAGTTCTCATTTATTGAGATATTATTGATATTATTGATAAGATTCAGTTGTATCAAAATAAAATAGTTACACTTCCAATGCATAGAATCAGAAGCATTTCTTTTTTTAGTCGCAAAACAGATTACTACATAATCTGGATGCGAA